GGGGGGATGTTGGTGGTGGAGACGCCGTCCGAGGTCAAAAGTATACGCTTGAACAAGACGAGCGCCGGCGTGTGGCAAAGGAAATTAATCAAGCGCCTCTGTGAGCACGCGCGGCGGCTCTCTACACCTGAACCGACTGAAATTGAAATACCGAGGTTGTGGACCACTCGCTTTCTCGCTCGGAATATTATGAGGATTTACCTGGTCGGTCCGAAAGTTGGGAATTCCTCTCGGTTTAACCTGCCAAGTCGATTCGAGGCGCGCGCCTAGCTCTCTGATATACAGCATGATTTATCTGTGTGATAATGTCCAAGTCTCTATCTCCCTCTCTCTCTCTCTCTCTTCATCTCTTTCTCTTTCTCTAGCATCTCCGGATACTGGCCAAACTTCTGGCGTTACGGGGATTACCGAGTTGCCGCGATCTTACATTTCACGTACTCTCTCCTTCTACGAGAACAGGATTAAACGTGTAGCTTGGAATGTTCGTTTTGTATGCATCCGGCCGCGCATCGCAATCATTGTTACGAGATGCAACGCGATCCTATGAGAATACGATGTGCGTCGAATTGTTGAATAATGATACTTGCAGCAAACGCTCAACTTCGAGTGTCTTCGATGTTTCGTATAATGTTGATTGAAAATAATTCATGGTACGATCATAACGCGCCAAAAACCGATGTCTGGCGAAAGGAAAAGCTTTTTCACAAATTGTCGAATAAATTTTAGCGGAAAATCGCGAGCGAGAAGAATTTGTGGTTACTCTGATTTTTCACGAGAAATTATCATTGACTTGGGGCACCTTGTCGCACGTCGACGAGATCTAACGAGCGGTGATTTGGACGTAGCCTAAGCATCGAACGCCATCGCCGGGCGCTGTGAGAGATTGTAAAATAAGTTCGATCTATCGCACCGAAGGACTTAGTTCCGCCTCATTAAGCGACGTGAGCGATAACTCACGTGATTTCGTCGCGAGTTTGGAAGAGATTTTTCGAGCAAGCTAGAAACGGAAATTCTCTCGACGAGATTTTTTTCAAAATCTAAAATCTTGTTGACAATCATTTCTTTCTACGCTATTAAGCAAAATTCATTCTATTACGTTTAAAGGTCAATTTTGATAATGAAATGTCAACGTAAAGGAGATTGTAACATTTATATTAAGATACGTTGTAGAGACACGTACCAATTATTTTTTTAACGATAGTAAGAATTTTAAGATTGGCAGTTTAATGCGAATGCCATTTTAGTCGCTACTACTTTCAACCTGAACAACTATGTAATTTTCATTTTCAGTTTTATATCTCCTCTTTACATACATTTTTTACGTCTTTTTCACAATTGAAACAAAACTTTACAAAAAATTCAAACACACAAGATTCTGTGAATTAATTTAAATTATTATTCAGTACAAAACTTGCAAAATTACACTTTTTAATCTCTTTTAATATTTTTTTCACATTTTAAGTAAAATTATTGTATGCCAGAGATACCTTAATACAACATGGGTTTTATTTTTGCTCTTTATTTTAACTCTTTATTTTTGCCTTTTACAGCCTGTTTGCTCTCTAAGTACGTATTTTTACTTTTGCTCTTTTTCTAAGTTATTATAATACTACGAAATAAAGGAAAAAGGTTGATCCAAAAAGTAGAGCTGAACAAAATTAATGCGCAGGCAACAGTAAAGGATACTTTAGATGGATAAAAACAAGGATAAAAATCTATATAAAAGAGTTGCTGTAGCTTATTATAAAATTTCGAAATCACTTTTTTTTCGCGACAAGAGTGAACAAGTTCCAGAGATTTAAAAAAAGAAGAATAACGAAACAAAGAATAATTGCAATTATCGGAAAATGGAAAATACTCAATATCCCTATACACAATTACATTCTTTATACAATTTTTGAACGAAAAGAAATATCTGAAACGTTAAACAAAAGTTAAGACTCAACTATCCCTCGATATTTAGAATAAAAGAAAATTAGAGAGATTCTCCAGAAATATCCAGAATTGAAAGATTTCTCCCCTACGCCAATCCATCGTACTCACAATAACGCATCATCTCTCATATGGAAACGTCAAGGAGGAAAGATTCTCAATGGGGGGAGGGGGAAGCCGAGCGCTCGAGGGTTCGCGAAATGCTTTTCAACTTCTTTTCCAGCATGCACTTGTCGCGCATGGCACAACCCTCGCGATAGTTATTGTTCAAAGAGCGACAGCGTTCGAAAAGATGCAAAAAGAAAGAGAGAAAGAGAGAAAAAGAGAAAGAGAGAAACGCGAAAGTATGATTACAGGCAGCACATAATGTGCGTATAGGCGTCTGAAAGGTGTCAAAGTGCATCTCGCCAGGTCCAATGGAGCGAATATTTTTAGGAATTCGCGACGGATGCACCACCGGATGCACACCGACTTTCGCTATCCGTTGTGCTTCGCACGCTTCGAACGGAATGCTGTTTGTTTCTTTCTGTCTTTTTTTCTTCCCGTATTCTTTCTGAACGTCCCTCCCTTCTACGTCGGCAAACAAGAATTTACGATCTTGACGAAGCGACATTGGCACGGCACGCCACATCGATGCTCGCGATTTCGCTTCCACCATCGTGTATGTGTGCACGATGGTTAAAAAGCGGCGTTTTCGCACGCCCGGTGAAAGTCATTACGGCTTTAAAACGCGGTCTGCGACGCGCAGAATTTTCATTCCTTTCGTTTCTGTGAAAGGTACGTAATCATTATCAATGTGTGGGTGCGAGGAAGGCATCCGCAGTCGCATCGACATTCATTTCTCGTTTAAAAGAATCACATCTCTCTTTATACAAGAGCTTCCGCAATCATTAAAGCTGCTTCTGATATTGACGTAATGTTTTTACTGATTTTTCGTGTGCCTATCGAAAAGAGCGACAGCGAATTTGAATAGGACGACGCTTCGACAAGCAAACACAAAACGCCCGCAACAACGTTATCATCGATGTTTCTTTCGAAATAGTTTAATTGAAAAATTATTTCTCTCGCGCATTAATATCGAGGAATATTTTAATCAATCATCGCAATCACGCATGCCGTTGGTATGTTTAATTTTCGCGTGAAAAAAACAAAACGAGCAACGGCACTTGAGCATTTTTCAATGTAACAGAACGCAACGAACGAAGCGTACGGCAACTCAAGGATTTCTGGAGAATAATCGACGATGATCACTCATCGCCATCGGAAAACGTAATGCGCATCGACTTTTCCATTTCTGTATTTCCAAGGAAACTCGAAGAAAAATATGAAATGTCTAAAATAGATTTGCGCGCTCGGAAAACGACTTCGCTTTTTACCGTGGGCTACTAACGCAAAGGGAAAGTTGGTCGGACATTATTGGATTCACCTTCTATTCACGGTATACTTTATTCCGAATGCTTATCGCGCGACTGCGTTCTCTAAGTGGCCCATCTGATAAATACAACGCAAAATGACCCCGTCGTCCGCATTGCGGATGTGACGTACTTTTATTCAGCCTTTACGCGTTCCATTCACATTTCTCCTAACGTAGTCGTATTAAACTTTGAAATCATGCCCTACACGCACACGCACATACATTCGAAAAGTCATTTCGTGGATTACGTGGAATTCAACTTCGCCGGGGGTTGCGTGGTAATCGATCCCAGCTTTCCAACGAAGAAAGTCGTCTCATGAGCTAAAGGCTCCGTTGATCCCGGAAGGATAGAGAAAGCCTTTGGTCTTTTGCAGTACCAAAGGCACCACCGATGCCCAACCGGTGTAGAGTAAGTAGATAGGTCTGCCTCGAACGATAGAGCGTCGCGCTAAGAAAGGTAGAGGACGCAGGTAAAGCCAGCCGGTATTTCCCAGGGGATCGCGGGTCTCGGCCTGCATTACGTCCTCTACATCGTCGTCGATACAAGCGGCGTGTCACGTGAGGCTCGTACGTGTGTACGTGTATATATTAACGTTAACGTTAACGTTAACGCCGAGGCTTCGACCTGGAGTGCGAAACCTCGCTAAACCCGTGCGGCCGGCCGACGTTATCCGCAAGACTGAATACTTTATGCGAAAATAATGACGGTCTCTTTCGTAATGTCCTTCTCTCTCTCTTTCTTTCTCTCTCTCTCTCTCTCTCGACTGACCGACCGACATGCAACGGATGCAAATTCAAATGCGCGCACGCCACGCGCCACGTTTTTCTGTGTTGTTGCCACTATACATATCTCCTCTCGTCGATATATATACGGGAGATGTAATTTTTTGTTCGATACCCAACGCGAACGCTTTGCGGATTTCTACGGCCGCAATATTTACCACCGGAACGATATTTATGTCGAATAATCGCGCATTATTTCCAATTTCCGATCGAGGGAGCATAATTGTTCATAAATATTCGACGGATACGGGAATTTTGCAGATATTTGGCTAATAATTGTGTTAAAAATTCCTCCACTTTTCTCGTTTATATTTATCTTTTTTCATTACATTATTCTATTCAAGTGTAAAGCAAAGCGCAAAGTACATTTTCATGCGGAAATCTATGAACATCAAATTTGGCTTTGGCACATTACTACTTCATCGGATTAAACACGTAGTGCGCTTCTATTATCCTACATGCCCTATTCACAGCTACATACATACATCTGCGATACTGATAATATATTGACTTCGTATAGTACGCGAGATGATTTCCGATTAAATCGTTTCGCGCAATCCACGCGAATGCTAAATGTACGCATCAACAATCTGTGGAACATTTGTATCGGCATTGGACGACCTGATTGATGTGAAGAATATTAAATTGAATAAACTTTTCGTTTTAACGACAACATGAGAGAGTTTGTATTGCGATAATATCTCTACTAATTTATATATAAAATTTTGATAAAAAAGTCTTTCTAAATAACGGCCATAATATTTACCGGGACGAGAATTATGTCGAATATAAGTGTCCAAATATAAGTGTCTTAAATCTTTGCATATAATAAATCAAAATTTAGAAAAAAATAATTTAAAATATAACTTACACGTACTTGATGATCTTTATCATAAAATGAAGTTCTTCATCGGTCAATGCACAACAGGATAGTTGATGACGATAATTGATCTGCAATACAAATACAGAATCCAAATTGTAACAGCAATCAAAAGAATCAATGTTTCGAGAAATTGTTATTGCTTGTATCGAATTTTATATTCTCTCATCGGTCAAATAAATTTTATTTAATAGAATAATTTAAACAAAAAACTATTATTTTTATATATAAATTTTTACAAGATTTCATATATAAATATATATATATTTTATATATAAATATTTTATATATAAATATTTTATATATAAAATACATATTTAAAATACGTATATAAAATACATTTATAATATATACATATACATATTTTATATATAAATTTTTACAAGATTTCATATATGCATTAAAGTCTATTTCTAATTCTTCTTTAAATCATTCAAATAAACCAATCAAATATGAATAGATGCATGCGCGTGATTAAAAAAATAATACGCAAATAATAGATTACTCACCCTAGACCTGCTCCTCCTCTCAGGCTTCTCAAAGTTCGTTGATTCACACGCGCGACACTTTGAACAATACTCCCGCACTTGAACACGCGATACTTTGCATGACATTCTCGCACTTTGACGCGCGACACTTTACACGGCATTCCCGAATTGCGTGATCGCATAGCAATATCCCGTTTCGCGCGGAGATCACTTTGAATCGACGAGATAATCAAGCAAGAGTTAAAAGTTATAATTGCGAAATTAGGAGCATGGAAAAACGCGACGAATAATTCGCAACACACTGAAAACCGAGAAAAGTGTGTGTTTTGGGTACTTAGCTTCCCCTTCGGGATAAACCTTCCAGGTACTAAGCCCTCCCACCAACGTCAAGGTGTACCCATTGGGAGGGTTCCAACAAAAACAGACATTATAAAAAAACGAGTAATTTTTCTCCGCAAATATAAAAGAAAAATTACATACACTTTTATAATTAAAATAAATTATATACACTTTTATAATAAAAATTAATTATATACCTAATTAAACACATTATTTAACAACTCTTGTTTATGAGCGCGCAAATATGTTTTGAGGAATAATAACGTGTGCATACGCGCGCATATGAGACTGGAATTAAAATGTAAAACAAAAAGAAAATAATCACTTTTCGATTAGATTAGATCATGAGATTTCGGAGATGAATGCGACAATTTCATTCCACCTAGTTGCAATTGGAAACTTATATAATTTATATGAGAAAAATATGATTAGACTTTTTATTAAAATAGCAATTATAAAAGTATTTTAATCAAAAGCATGTTTCACATAAGAAATCGAAATAAATTATTTGATAACATTTCGGCGACATATATCATTAACATAATCGTGTAAGTTACTTTTTATACTTGGCATCGCGATTCTATGGATCGGTTGAATTGTAAAAATTATTTCAAGTTGACACAACGAATAAGTCAAGTATAGAGCGCAACAGTAAAAAAGGTTCTTCGTTGCCAGGATGATTCGAATAGTTTGCTCGAAGGAGTTTTTATCCTCTTGTAATTAAAGCGATCAGCATAAAGCGCTCCCGGGACTGCATTAATAAAAGTGCTATCTCAAGGAGGCGGTTTCTTATGCTGGTCCGACCAGGCGGCCGCTCTTAGTTATAATTACCTTGTTTGCATCCGAGTCCGTTTGAAGTTCTCATTGTTGCGGGTCAGAGAGGGTCGGCGGAGAAGAGGAGGCGATCAAAGCAAAGTTCACCGCAAAAGTCGCTCTCGTAAGAAAATGCGCGTCCTCCTGTTAGTATAATAAACGCAACATCGCAGAGTTTTCGTTATACACGCCACCTCTGCCCTTCTTTCTTCCGTCTTTTCTGACGAGTAGTAGAATAGATACAAAATTGTGAGCCGAGGGAAAAAGCAGGACGATGTCGGAATACAAAAGCAGACGCCACTATTTTGCGAAAATCACGAAAAATAGTAGATATCATCGGATGTATATGGATGTGTACATATACATATGCGATGATTAAATACATCTGACACTACAGGAGTGCGTGTTATCGGATTTTTAATCCGTTGCCCGCGAAACGCGTTATTCATCAATGTCGCGCATTACGGACAAATTATTTTTTTTTTTTCATACGCGATTCGATCGCGATGACAAACGTGAAATTATTTCGCGTGCACGAAATCGACGAAATCGCGAAACGACGTGAACCGATGTACATCTCGCGTGGCGTCGCGAAGGATCACGAAAGATGTGGTCGGAAACGAGGTATGTATAAGCGTAGCACGGATTGTACCGATGAGGAGGAAAGGAAGGAAAAGTCGGACTCTCCCCATAAAATACGACAATTCCCCGAGAGGTATTAACGTGATCTGTGTAAGCCACGTGAGGCTGGCTGACTGGCTGGCTGGCTGGGTTGCGTTGCAGTGTGCATGCACCACCGAGAGATAAATAATGCAGAACACTCCTAAAGCCGCTGGTTCACGTACGACCAATATGTTCCTCGTGCGGAGCCGCAAACTGGATAGCGCGCAGCTGGAAGAGTGCGCGAGATGCAACACAATTTTAAGGATTTTGCCATCGTTTACTCTCTCTCTCTATTTCTCTCTCTTTTTCTTTCTATCTCCATCCCTCGTTCGCCGAGAATAAAATTTCTGCCTCGCGATGGACGATTTTAACTTTGCAGCCGACGTCGTTTAAGCCGCGATCGATCGATCAACGTCTTATGTACATTTTAACCCGGCTTTCCTGCGCGCGACGACTTCCAATTCGATATTTATCTCTCGACTATCGGCGATTAAATAAGTTTTAGTGACCTTCGCGTCCACAGTTCGTGCAGCTTTAATGGGATTCCCAGAGTGGCGCGGCGATTTCTCCGCAACGAAAATATAACGGATATTAATTGGGTGACAACGGGAGGGGAAGAAAGGGACGAGGCTTGCCGTGAGAAACTTTTGCCCCGGTAGTTGGCGCAACTTTGGCGGTTAAAGTTCCGAGGTGATGAAGGCTCGAGATGTCTACCTATCCATCATCATGAAGACTCTTGGATAGAGCTACTCGTAAGCAAGCAGTCATGTCAAACTCGAGGTTTAACCTTGATTAAAGTTCGTCGCATCGGTACAAAAATTTCATCAATATAACTTTTTTTTTTCGATAAATTTCTAAAAATACGCAGAGATTGCGATAGCTGCGATTAACAAACAAGTATAAAAAAAACTCTCATCACGGAAGACGCGAGTGCCGTCAAAGTTTTAGAATCTACACTCGAATGTATTTAACTTAAGGGACAAAGTTACAAAACTCCAACAGCCGAGTAGCAAGTTGTAGCACTAGGGGTATAATCTAACTTTGTACGGCATGTCAAGATTGTACCATGTATTATTAGGGATATATAGACGGGCTTGCGCTTATTTTATTATTGATAACGCTGGAGCAAGGTGGCAGTAAGCGGGCGCGAGTTCATCATCTCGCGAAAGCGATTCGAGGGGGGGGCGCACAAATCGTGAAATATAGAATAACCACGACGAGAAAATGTTTCGCGCCCGTTCCACGTGTTTGAAGTGCGCACGAAAGGGATAGAAAGGGAGGTTTAAGTACACTAACTATAAGTAACGCGCGATGTATGCAACTCTGACACAAATTTATCCAGACAAGTAGAATATATGATATCAGGTGGTATATACATAGTAAAACTTGCATTATTCCTTTTTGCACGGCTGCCGCGATGCAAAATTGTGCGTGACAGTTTCATGCGTACGGCTTCGCTGTACGTATTTTCATGTGTACACCAAATACCGCATAATTTGCGATACAAACGAAAAACAGTGATTTTACGTGAAAAAATGAATTTAAAACATCAAAAAGGTTTTTTTACACAAAACTTTGTGTTTTCGAAATAAATTAATTTCAAAATCTTGAAAAATAATATTTACACTGTTTTTAATCCAAAATTATAATAATTGTGTCTTATGTCTTTATGAATTTGCTTTCACTGCGATTAATACAGGAATACAAAAGTGCTTATTTATTAAAATAATTTACAATAATTTAAATTTAAAAAAATTGTGCACATGCATAAAAGAATATTCAAATAAAAATAGTATTATTTTCAATTAAAGAATGTTATATATTTTGTATATTTTTTAATAATTGTAAAATAAATTCGATGTACAACAAAATTAGAGACAACTAAACAAGACAAAACGAGCACAATATATTATCATTTTGTAAATTTTGAATCTTTTAATCTCAAAAAACAAAGCTTTGTATAAAAAAAATTTATTTTATTTTTTCATTTATTTAATTTTATTTTTTTCCATATAAAATCATCTTTTGTTGTTTATCATTTACGAGATATGATATATGCGCAAAAATATTAGCATTAAATATTAAATAATATAAAATATAACATTAGCATTATATATTAAAATATAAAACAAGTATATTGAAATATATATAAACATTTCTAGTATAATATTAATAAATAAAAAATTTTCCTATCGTTGTATTTAAAATATAATAATATAATCCTCTACTCAATTATTCTATCTTTAATTATATCGATAGATTTCATCATTCTCTCAGCGAAATTTTGCGGTTGGTGACACAGCATATGTATACATACACACGCACACAGCTACAGTTTTACCAAATCGTTATTGCATTCCGCGAATGTAAGAACCGCTACAAAATATCGGAGCAATTTAAAAGAAAACAGCCGTAAAAGAACGCAAAGTTTTTCGTACGTGTGCAAGGGGAGTTTTAAAGGCGCGCCAAGAATGGCACGGGTAAATGCTCGGGAGTCTAGTGGGAAATAAAGCTTCCGCTCGCGAGCGGGAAAGAAGAGAGTTCCGTAAACGGGAACGCGAATGGAGTAATCTCCACGCGTCCGTGGTTTTATATCCATATCCATATCTCTCCGCGCGCGCAGAGAGCGCGATGTTTTACGAATCACCGCGCGTGCACGCGCTCATACACGCATATACAATACACACGCACACCCCCACATGACCAAACTTGGGCAAACAGCCCGAGAAAATTGCAATTTGCCACGTAGCAGCTGTTGTCGTAAGTGGTCCCATAGCAACAGTGTATTTGCTAAGCAAATGGCCAATCATGCATATCTAAGGAGGGTCGCGTCTGCATCTCATGCATTATAGAGACGGGCTCTTCGCCCAGACGCTCTTACGAGCGCGGTAGCGCCTATTCCCAACATAGATACTAACTTCACGCCTCCTCTAATATTCTATTATCAACGACATCTCACCGCCTGAAGGCCGGATATCCCCCGCGATCCGCCACGAATAGTGACGAAAAATTGACGCTGCGCTGTATCCAACGGGACTCCATTAATACGCCGAATTTTGTCATCTGCATTCGACCGGTCCGAATCATTTGGTTGGTTCACTTTCAAAATCCGCTTTTGCCAATGCATCGGTAATCGCCCTTTCGGCGACGACGAGGCGTATAAAAAAGATTCAACTGTTTTTAGACGAAGCTGACAATAAATATTAAATAATGTTTAATGTTTAATAAATAGAAATAATGTTGATACTTATATATGTGTGTATTTGCAGACACTTATAGCCGTCTTTAAGGATGCATATTATTCTGATATAACGAAACTCTCTCGCTGCGTGTGAAAAAGTTTATGCAAAAAAATATTCGCCGTAATTCGTGGCAAAAAAGTATCGAAAATTTGCCAATGGAATTTGGAATAAATTTGTACACATATTTGGAAAGGCTCTTCATCACTTCCCTCGCGAATCATCGCGACACGGTCCTTTTACTTTCGCGTAATCTTCTTCGTCGCAAGAGACATAACTCTCCTCGCCCGAGGAGAAGCGGAACGAATCTCTTCCGTGCTCCGTCGTTTGTCGTTTATCAACGCAACGAAAAATTCCCGCCAACTACGCGAA